GGATGCGAACATGAGGACATGGTGTCTTAAGTGTACACATTTTACTTTGTCTTCTAGATGGAATGAAAGCAGTTAACATAGTTTCCCCAAATACCACCTTTTGGTCTGCCTGTATGAGTTTTCTAATAAATCTATCTGTAGTCATATGACCTTGCCACAGCTGAAAAATACACTAACCTTTTATCTTAAAGTTTCAGAGTCAGAATTTATCTACTTAATTTATTGTTTGTATCAACATGGTACTTCTTTAGAACAATAATATCAACAAGATTAATTGTAGATGTAACCAACCTTCTTATTAAATAAGAAACACAGAACCAATGCAAAGAAGAAAGCCAAGAGGTCAGAGCTAAGAGCTAAAACCTTACCCTTCCTCCTGCGGTGGTCCTACCTCTCCGAACCAGAGCTACCCCTGTGTTAAAGTCTTTATATGGAGTTCCTGTCCTGCCTTCTCATTGGTTGTTAACCCAACCACATGACCGCCTCCTCACAGCCTGTCTGTATAGGCCTCCAGGTTTTCCATGATTGGTATTAAGATTAAAGGCATGTGTATCCAATAATGGCTGTATCCCTGAACATACAGAGACTTACCCAGCTCTGCCTACCAAGTGCTGGAATTACAAGCATACGCCACCACTGCCCTGCTTTCCTATGGCTTGCTAATAGCTCTGACCCCCGGGCAACTTTATTTATTAACATAAAAATAACATTTTAATACAAATAAAATATCACCATAATTAATGATACAAAATAGTGATTTATTACTTTGAAAGCTAATGATGTACTGTTACTGATGTACTAGTTATATGTAATAATGCTAATGCCCATTGGCTTGCCTTTTTACTTAAAATAAATAAATCATATTAAAATCACAACAAATGACGGAGGGGCAGTGATTAGATTTCCAGGGTTCTTAGTGTTTTCTTGTTTCTTCATCTTTTTTTCTTTCCCTGCTGTATGAAGCTGACCTGGGGTGAGGAAGACACAGAAGGAGAACAGTTCATTGCTTGAAAAGTAGAGATTTCAGTGTGGGATTATTTTTGCAAGGCAACTTAGTTTGGGATTCCCCACAGTCAACCCTGAGGTGAAGATGCTTAAGTAAGTGATTCGTTCCTGAGGTCTTCCCAGGAGAAATCAGTGAGGCAAGTAAGACCGGTAAGGAAGACAGATACAAAGCCACACTCAAGTCCTTCTGAGGGTAAGGCCCTCCCTAAGAAAGTCTCAGTAAGAGCGCAGGAGTCAAAAGCACGCTTGGATTCCTAAAGGACTGCTCAGGAGGGATTACAGCAGAGCTGCTGAGATCTGGGAAGAGCTCCGAACCTATTACAGTGTTTTAGACAAAGTCAGGCAGTGGTTCTCAACCTTTCTAACTCTGTGGTCCTTCAATACAATTCCTTGTGTCGTGCTGACCCACACCCATAAAATTATTTCCATTGCTATTTCGTAACTGTAATTTTGCTACTGTTATGAATCATAATGTAAATATCTGGTATGCAGGATATCTGATATGCGACCCCTGTGGGGGTTGTAATCCACAATTGAGAATCACTGGACTGTTTTTCTCCGTGAAGCGTTTCAAGTCAAGATACCTTTCCTTGCCTGGACCAGCTATAAATGAAGACAGCGTTTGCAATCTAAATCCTGCTTAAGCTTCAGAGTACCAAAATGAGAACTTAACCCGAAGACTGGGCAAATTATGGCTGTTGGGGGCAGAAACAGGAAAGGTCTGAGAAAGAAAGTGGTGTTTTAGATACAAATAAACAAAAAGACTTGAAGGAATTAAACTAATCATAAAGAGACTGCATAGGTAGATTATATTGAGACTAGAAAAAATAATCTAATGAAAGGCTGGGAAAAGGATGACTCTGAGGATGGAGTGTGTAATCCATAACTAAATGAATGTGATCTAGTGGTCTGGCAAAGTAAATACACACACACACACACACACACACACACACACACACACACACACACACACCCCACATATAAGGGATGGAAGTATCCTCAGAGAAGACTTCCCTTAAGAAAGACCCTTAAGAATAGCTGTACCAGCCACTTTGGAAATCAATATGGTGGTTTCTCAGAGAATTGGGACCCAATCTACCTTAAGACCCAGCTATATCAATCTTGGGTGTATATCCAAAGGATGCTCAATCATACCACAAGGACACTTGCTCAACTATGTTCAACACAGTGTTATTCATAATAGCCAGAACCTGGAAACAACCTAGATGTCCCTCAATGTCTGAGATAAAGAAAATGGATAAAGAAAATGTGGTACATTTACACAATGGAGTATTACTCAGCTGTTAAAAACAACAACATTGTGAAATTTAAAGGCAAATGGATGGAACTAGAGAAAATCATCCTGAGTGAGGTAACCTAGACTCAGAAAGCCAAATATGGTATATACTCACTTATAAGTGGATATCAGCTGTAAAGTAAAGGATAACCATGCTACAATCCACAGACTCAGAGAGGCTAGGTAACAAGGAGGGCTCAAGATGGGACCCATGGATCCCCTTGGAAAGGGGAAATAGAAGATATCTCATATGTAGACTGGGAGCAGGTGGGGATGAGAACGTAAGGGATCAGGTTGGGGGTGGGTGGAGAGGATAGGACTGAAAGAGATGACTATAAAGTGGGGAGACATTTCAGGGTCAAGTAGAAACCTGGTACAAGAGAAACTCCCAAGAATCTACAAGGATAACCTCAGCTAAGAATCCTAGCAATAGTGGATACATAGCCTGAACTGGACATCTTCTGTGACCAGGCAAGACTTCCAGTGGAGGGATTGGGACACCAACCCAGCCACATAACCTTCTACCTATAGTCTGTCCTGTCTATTGGATGTGCTGGGGTAAGGGTAGCACAGAGATTGTGAGAATGGCCAACCAATGACTGGTTCAGCCTGAGACCCATGCCACGAGGGAGCCCACCCCTGACACTGCCTGGAGTGTCACGTCCCCGAGCCTGGATGGCCCAGAGACCTAGGATAGAACCAAACAGGATTGGAGGGAAAGAAAGCAAGTAAAGAAGGAAGGAAAGGAGGGAGGGAGGGAGAGAGAGAGGAAGAGGGGGAAGGAGGGAGGGAAGGAAGGAAGGAAAGAAAAATGTCATGTTAATAATACCTATCAATATTCTGCTACACTCATAGATTGATGACTACCCCAAATGTCATCAGAGAGCCTTCATTCAGTAACTGATGGAAACAGATGCAGAGATCCAAGCACTGGGCTGAGCTCCAGGTATCTTGCTGAAGAGAGGGAAGAAGGATTGTACAAGCCAGAGGGGTCAAGGACACCACAAGAAAACTCACAGAATCAACTAGCATGGGCTCAAAAGAGTTCACAGAGACTGAACTGACAACCAGGGATCCTGCATGGGAATGCCCTAGGCACTCTACATATATGTGACAGTTGTATAGCTTGGTCTACTTGTGAGACTCCTAACGCGGGAGCAGAGACTGTCTCTAATGCTTTGCCTGGCTCTTGGGAACCTATTTCTTATACTGTGTTGTCTTGCCCAGCCTTAATACAAGGGGAGGAGCGTAGTCCTATTGCAACTTGATATGCCATGCTTTGATGATACCCATTGTGGGGTCCCACAGAGACTCCATAGTGTGGCCTTCCTTATTCCATCTTTACTCAAGGTCGGAGAGTCCAAGATTGTTTTGCCCCATAAGGCTGTATAGTAGGATGTTTTAGCCTAAGACGTGGTTACCAGGTGTCTTATACTTCAAGGCCTAATTACAGGATGCTTTGCTGTAAGGTGTGGCTACTAGATGTTTTGAGAATTAAGGAAGTGTTTACACTTGTCTGTACTTTGTACCTTGAACCATGGTGTCCTTGAGACGGGGAGGTCTTTGGCCTCTCCTCTTGCTGGTGTATAGAAAGCCCATGAGGAATAAACTCAGGCAATGGTGGTGTTGACCCAGAGCCCTCCCAAAGCTATTCTGTGTCTCTGTCTTTTCCTTTTATGTCTACATCGTTATTTCTCATATCTCTTATTTCTCAGTCCACACTTTCTTATACCAAGGACTGTCTGAAGGTTGGGCTGGACTTGGCAACCCATGGGAAGCATCCCTTTCTCAACAGAAACAGAGGAGGAGTCGATTAGGGGAAAGGAATGGGAGGAAAGGAGGGGAAACTGCGGTCGGGATGTAAAATAAATAAATAAATTTAATAAAAAGAAAAAGGAAAAAATGGCTGTACCATGATAACATGAAGAGGAAATATGTTCAGTCAAGTGGATGTGATGACATCTATGCATGAGCTACTTAAATCTGGGTCGTAGAAGACAAAGCGACCTTACCAGTTGTAGGCTGCTATGTTTTCTGTATAAAATATACAAAGGACTATAGATTCAAGGAGCAACCACAATGAAAACACCTTGGAGAAGCTCCTCTTCAAGGACTGTATATGTCAATTCTACGTAAAGTAATTCTGAGAGAAAAAGAAATAATAGCAGGTGAAGTAGAGGATACGTTTTATTTACTTTGGAAAATGGACTTGGACATTTATCTCAGATTGACAGTGTGTTACCAAGGCCTCTAAACTCCCTTGGGCTCTGTGAATGAGCAATGCTGGCAAATTTCTGTAATTTAAGTGTTCTATTCAAACTTTGACATGATTTTTATGTCAGAGGGTCCAAGTAAGAAACCTTTTAAAAGGTATTTATCACACAAACTCAGTTTGCTTTTGAATATCTCATTAATTAAAAGGTTGAAGTCTCATTACTTCATGTCTGTCTTTCCTGGATTATGTAAAACAGCAACCCTGTCATTACCAAATCATATGCTATTTTTCTTTTCTTAACGAGCTAGAGATCAGAGCTACCACTTAAAGGTAACATTACAGAAAATAAAAAGCAATGTGCAGCACCTTGTTCTTAGCTATGTATTAGATGGATCTAGTCTTCTATGAGTATTTGTTCCAACCTTTATTTTTCTTGGTGTTGCTTGTAGTTCAGTAGCACTAAAGAGAAAGTGTTATACTGTAGCTAATTCGAAATAGAAAACCTGATTTTATTTGACATTGCCCAATTTATCAGCAAAGGACAAAAATGGTGCTGCCAGAAATGCATTATATATTCAAATAACATGGGTTATTTGTGACAGGCACGTGACATTTAGTTTCTGATCATTAGCTTTGCTAATCATTAGCTTGGTTAATGAAAAATAAAATATTTACAATACTGAATGAGCAACTGAAAAATGAGCAAGTAGCTAATCCAATTTACACACGCTCCTGAATCACAGACTACCAGTCTGCTAGTCCTAAACTGTACTAGCATGAGCCTTTTGCAACTTTTATAGGCAGACAGTGAATTCTGTGTTGGTTTAAGGTGATGAAGGTCTCAGTGGCATCTCCTGTGTGAACTTTAAAAGGTTTCAAGATATGGTGATATTTTATTTGTACTGAAATGTGATTTTATTTGTATGTTAATAAATAAAGTTGCCTGGGGGGGTCAAAGCTAATAGCAAGCCATAGCAGAAGCCGGGCGGTGGGGGCGCACGCCTTTAATCCAAATCACATGACAGACAGATCTCTGTGTGTTCAAGAATACAGCCAGCATGGAGACACATGCCTTTAATCTCAATACCAACCATAGAAGACCTGGAGGTCTGTACAGACAGGCAGTGATGAGGAGGTCATGTGGTTGGGCTTACAACCAATGAGAAGGCAGAACAGAAAGTCAATAAAAAGACAGATACACGGGAAGTAGGTCTCTTGCTGAGGGGAAGGACAGCAGTGCCAGGAAGGGTAAGAAGGCAGTTTTAAGTCTCAGCTCTCAGCTACTTCTCTGACTTCTTGGGCTTTTAACTCTGTATTTGGCTCTGTGTTTCTTATTTAATTAAGATGGTTACATCTACATCAAGACAATGTCTACAAAGCAAATTCCATTTTCCTTAACCAAAATGGTTTTCAGGTGCTGACCCTCATGGAATGTTACTTGTGCTTTTCAGTGCTGCTCAGTTTTAACTATCAATTTTCTTTCTTTGGTCAAATTTATTTGATGCCTATAGTCTATCACAATGATACAGACAAAAATATTATTGCTTATTGTAGTTAAGTTGAATTTACTTTTAGAATCATTTCCTTGTGCTGTCAGGCAGATACACTAGGAGTTTGATCTTCAACTATGCCCCTGCTGAGTTGTGCAACGATATCTTGGGCAAGTCTTGTTTAAGCCTGCATTTGCCCACCTACAAATCAGAGATAATAAAAGCTACCTTAAACCTCATTCTGAGAACTAAAAGAGATAATGTATGCCATTTGCCAAATTAGGTAAATGTTCACTCAGCACATTGCTGTTGCTTATTGTTGTTTCATATACACAATGTTTTGGAAAATAGCACCACTAGCCAATAGCCTGGAAGAGATCTGGTCTTAAGATAGTATGTACAAGTTATTCATATTGGCCATGAGAGCATCTTAACACTGTCATGGCTGGCTTTAATAACATGTAATCTGGAACCTCCATTATTATTAAAATAGGGCTTTCAAGAAAATTCCAGTCTCTTCACATTGGTTAGCTCTAATTCACCCACGCAGTGTATATATTGTGAGTTAATTTGTGAGGTAGTGGTTGCAGGTTTTTTCTTCCCACTGTTTCTTTGCATTTATTACCTGGTTCTGATAATTTAGGTGGTATCACCTAGCAGGCTCAGGGCACATGCTGCTGAGAACCAAGAGCTCTCATACTAGTTTTGAGTTTCATATTGGGATTTTTAAAGTCCACAACAGAAGTATCTATAAATCATAGCTGTAGAAGATTGTGGCTTTAGAGAGAGAGAAAATCTGCTGAGTCACCCAAAGCAAGGAGAACTACAGAACCCTCGGTTTAGAGCAGAGATCAGAGGAGAAGAGTACGTGGACAGAATAACAAAGCAGTCAGTTAAAAGTTGGCAAGCACATCCAATGACAGAATTGAATAGATGAGAAAAGGCTTGGTGATTGGACATATAGGTAGTGTTTTGGAAAATCACACAACTAGTCAAGTGACTAAAAGAGCCATGGTCAAAAACAGAACATTTTCCTTGACCATGACTACAGTAAGCAACTGCAGGTACAGCACAGCCAGAAGATGGTGTTTGAGACCAGTTGGAGTAGATGACATTTCTGCAGAGGTCAGAGAGGTCAGACAATGGCACTTGACCTAGGGGTATGACCCACCCCTACTGACAAAACAATGTATGCCCCCCCCCAGGAACTTGGAGCACTTCTAAAGAGAAGAAAATAACTATGGGTTTATCCCAAAGAATTTGAAAGCGAAGTCTTTGTGAGAAAGACATTGTCACAGTTAGTTTGGCTAGGACTTGAATATGTCCCCCAAGAGCTCATGTGTTGCGCGTGGTCCTCACTGTGGTGATGCTGAGGTGGTGCAGGCTTTAAGAGACAAGGCCTAGTGGTAGGCCCTTGCCTCTTCAGTGATATGCCCTCAGAAGAGATCAACACAGTTCTCCTGGGACTCTAATCCTCAGCAGCTCCTTGACCTGATATTTGACAATGTGATCTGTCATTCTGTATGTGTCCCCACCATGATGCGACCCACCATGAGGGGATACTGTAAGGAATCCACAGCCAGGGCAGGAGCTGTGCTGTTTGGACTTTCAGCTACCAATATTGTGAAAATTGAATGAATTTCCTTTCTTTAGAAGTACCCAGATCAGGCATTTTGTTACAGTAACAGAGAATAGCCTAATATAGAACGGTAGTTCTATATGTGTTATATAGAAATAAAAATCACACAATTCTCTAACTTAACACTTTATTAATGTGTTGAAATACCAGTTTTCTTATATTTCAAATTTTAGGGATATTTGAGCTTGGTTGGTGTTCTAGCTTGCTTCCTATTGCTGTAATAAACAGCATAACCAAAAGCAACTTGGGAAAAACCAAAATAAACTTGGGTTTATTTCATCTTACATCATGCAGGGCAGTTAGGGCAGAAACTCAAGGTGGAGACCTGGAGACAGGAAGTGAAGCAAAAGCCATGGAGGGACACTGCTTACGGGCTTGCTCTCCATGGCCTGCTTAGCCAGCTTTCTTATAGAACCCAGGACTAGCTACCCAGGGGTGGAACTGCCCACTGTGGGCTCAACTCTCCTACACCAATTATTAATCAAGAGAATGATGCACAGGCTTGCCTACAGGGCAATTTGAGGGAAGCGTTTTCTCAACTGAATTTTCCTCTTCCTAGATGATCTTAGCTTGTGTTGAGTTGAAAAAAAAATTCATCCAGCAGAGTCAGTTCTTTAGTTAGTTTGTTTGTTCATTTGAAATCAAGACCCACACTGAAGCTCAGAATGGCCTGAAACTCCTCCTGTACCTCCCCTGCCTCAAGCCTATCTTAGCTCTGGGACCACAGGCCTGAGCTACCATACCCAGTTACTATTTCTTCTTGATTACTATGAAAGCCTCCATTATCTGAAATCATTTTAATGATTAAAAAGAACAATATATCTTTCACATAACTATCATAAAATGGAAACTAAATGCATGCATCATTATAAAAAAATCATTGTTTTCTCAACTACAACTCCTCATCTCAAGTAGCTTTATTTGCTTCGTATCATTTAAAAAGGAAGCTTCAAATGCATAACCGGAGGACTCTAGTTTGACTAGACTTCAGGTCTTGAATTATAATCATTATGGTTGTCTCAAGAAGCCCTGGTTGGACTCCTTACTCCTTTGCATAGTGTCCAAGCATATATAAATAAACATAACCTAAGGGTGCTATGTGCAGCTATAAGACTAGATATGCACCTTCAGCAGCAGGAATATGCTGATGTTGACGTCAGCTTGAGATAAAACCAGGTGCACTGTGGCTTAGAAGCTTAGAAGCAAGTCACTCTTTTAAATGCTCTCCCCTGGGACCCAAGTCATGGGGATTCACTGGGCGTGTAGCCACTCTTGACTACGCTTCTGGTCTAATTCCTTGTGATGGTTAGGGTTAACTGCCTGCTTAACAAGTTAGAATCATCTGAAAGATGGACCTATGAGCATCTGGGTGATTATCTTGATTAAAGGTGGGAAGACCTTCCTACCGTGGGTGAGCCCATTCCCTGGGCTGGGCATCCTGTAAACAGAACACTCCAGTGCATATATTTGCTGTTCTTCTGATTGTGGAAGTAATGCAGTCAGCTGTACTAAGCTCCTGATGCCCTGACTTCATTGCCAAGATGAACTTTAACCTGGAACTATAAACTAAAATTAGCCTTTTCTCCTGTAAGTTACTTTTGTCAGGATATTTTATCAGGGCGATAGGAAAAGAACCTCTAACAATCCTCAATAAAGCATACTCTGCAGCCTTGGACTGTCTTGACTCGGGGTTCCTTAGCAGCACCTTCTGCCAGTATCTGTCCTTTCACAATAACTAAAGCTGTTAGTGATCACAATTATAAACTTAAAGGGAGATGAGGAAACCAGAGCTTTGAACGTGCATATTGTGCTAACACATATCTAGACATGCAGCATCTAGTTCAACCTTGTCTCAAGCTGAGCAGTCTGTAAGTTTAACCCTTTCTATCTGTAGTAGCACTTCTGAGTCTGGGAGCAAAGCTGATTATGTTACAGGCCCAGCCATGTGAAGTGTTAACTGTAGTAAACCATTCTGAACTGTGCTAAGACTCTTAACACCAGGCATAATGAGATTGCTAATATCAGGTTTTCTATTAGCTATATACTTACTGAATGTTAGGCACACAGAAAGGTGAGAAATGAATTCAGAATATCTTTTCAATGTTGCTTCTTTGAAATTATGTAATCCCACAAGTGAATATTTTAAAACTGTGTCTTCAGTAATTAATATTTATTTTTGCTTCTCTGTAGTTGTGATCAATAGAGCATTAAAGAGAGCAATTTTATCTTCAGAGGTGTTTTTACATTCAATTTATTGCCATTGACAAAAAATTTGCCTTTCAATGTGGAAAAATATCTCTTTGAAGAGTTTTATTGTATGTCTGCCTTATATGATGCTATAATTTTATTTTAGTCACAATATAGGAATAAAGAATTTATAGACTGAAGAGTAAACACAAATTTTATGTATTGTAACACTCTAAAATATATTATTTAAAAACAAAGGAAAATGATTGCTACCTCCTGGAGAAAAGAGGAAACAATAAAATAGTTGATGCATTAAACATATAATGATATTATCATGAATATTAATATTCATGGGCTATTGCAAAGACAGTTGTAAAAAAATCTAATAAAAAGTTTGAAACAGACAACTATTTTTTAGATACTTCAGCAATTGAAGTCCTTGGAAACCCAATTGTTTCTTCTAAATTTTCACTTTGTAGGGTAGTGAATTCAACATTATTATACGGAGGCATTCAGGAGTGTAAGGAAATCTGAATGCACACACACTCTTCGGCTAGCTTCCTGTAAGCACTGCTATTTTCTACCGTGCACTGTAGATAGGAGGCACTTTAACCAGTAGATACGCGACTGAAACAAAGAGAAGGAAGAGGAGGAGGAAAAAGAAAAAGAAAATATCGGTCATTGAGACAGGCCTCTGCCACTGGGTGCTGGCTCTCAGGAGCCCAAAGGGTCTTCACAGTATTCTTTCCCACGATGCTGTTGGTCTCTTCTGTATTTCCTGGGCTTCTTTCACTCCGAGGCGCTTTTTTAACTCAGCTGCAGTTTTTTCCAGTTGTTGGATGTTCCATTGCCATTTCCTCCTGTTTAACTGAATCTTGTTCACCTGGCAATGCAAACGCTTAAGAATTGCATCATATCTCTTATGTTGTACCTGTTAGAAAACAGTACACAACAATAGTGCTCGTGAGCATGCGCAGTCAACAGTTAATAACAGACACTCTGACTCCTCTAGAGGGAAGCACTCAATTAGAAATCATTCATTGGAATAATCAATACAAACAAGAATTATGTAAGTATTCAAAATATTATTAGTGCTGAAAGTTTCCTACATGAAATGACCATAATACCTTATGCTGTAGGTATTATTATCGTGTGTGTGTGTGTGTGTGTGTGTGTGTGTGTGTGTGTGTGTGTGAAGAAACTGAAAATCAGAGTAATTTGAACACAATTTCAAAGCTCACAAATTGCGGGTGTTTAGGATTTGAACTCAAATGAAACATCCAGGATGGAATACCCTGTTTGTCAAGGCAGTTACCCAGTGTTAAGTAAATGTGGCTTGCAGGTGCCTCTTTATTGAGTCCTATCTGATGAACTGCAATCTTAGCATCTAAACTGAGAGCTTAAAAGTATGTATTTGTAGCACATCTGGTTCTCAGCAAACCCTAGTAGCCCTGTTTCAGTAACTCATGGTTGCCAGCTGGTAAGGCCGTGCTCATTATGGGCTATAGCCAGTGGAACCGCTTCTGTATCTCACTTCCATTTGCTCCTCAGAAATGCTGCCTGCCCACACCACTGACAGCTTTCTGAAGCACCTCGGGCTCTGAGGACTTACCAATTCATGGATCATTCATTGTTCTACTACACTCAGTTGAATTTAATTGTTCTAATGTCTTTCTTTACCACTAGTTAAGAGAAACGGTTCTGTTCTCTATAGTTAGTGGCTCACGGAAACATATATCTCTATCTATCTATGTTTAAAAGATCTAAGTCAGGGGTTCCCAACCTTCCTAACTCCTTTAATGCAGCTCTTCATGTTGTGGTGACCCCAACCATAATACTCTTTTCCTTGCTACTTCATAGCTGTGATATTGCTACTGTTATGAATGACAATGTAAATATCCGTGTTTTATGGTGGTCCTAGGAAAGCCCTGTGAAGGGACATCGAGTGTTGTGACCCACAAGCTGAGAAGCACTGATGTAAGAGCTGATGTGGTCTATTTCCTTGCCCTTAGATAGCTGAGGAAATTTATTCTGAGCCAGACAATGACACACTGCAAGGTAATGAAGCAGTGGAAATTCCAAGTGATGGGGTGTCTGGCCACAAAAAGGTAAAAAAATTTTATCCATTTACCTGCAAATTTCATGATTTCATTTTTTAAAAAGCTGAATGGAGTTCAGTATACATGCTACATTTTCATTACCCATTCATAAGTATATTATTTAGATTGTTCTATTTCCTAGGTATTTATTGTGAATAGAGCCGCAGTGAACATGGCTGAGAAGATACCTGTGAAGTAGGATGTTGAGTCCTTTGGGCATACGCCAAGAGTTATAGCTAGATAATATGGTACATCTATCTTTAACTTCTTGAGACTTTACCACACTGGTTTCCATAGTGGACTCTCACCAATAGTGAATGAGGTTTCCCTTTTCCCACATCCTCACCAGCATTGTTATTAGCTGTTTACTTGATTTCAGTCATGCTGAGCAGGGTAAGATGAAATCTCAAAGTACTTTTAATTTGCATTTCCTTAATTGCTAAGAATACTGAACACTTTTAAAGATGCTTCTTAGCAAATTTTCTCTCTTCTTTTGAGAACTCTGTGTTCAGATCCATAGCCTATTTTTAATTGGGTAATTTGTTTTTTTGACTGCTTTTTTAGTTCTTTGTATATTCTGGTTAGCAATCATTTATTAGATGTATAGTTGGCAAGGATTCTCTCCTACTTTGTGTGGAGAATTTGAAGGTAAGACCCAATTTTTGAAGACACCACACACTTCAAACACAGGGCTTGGAGGAACCAAACTGAAACTGACCTGGAATCCTTCTCCCTGAGGCCTAGCTCTCTTAGCATCCAAAAATGCCAAGGGAGTAAAGAAACTAAAAACTTTAGCTAGCTGTAAAGCCCATGACCCACAACAATGACCAGCATGACAAGACGTGTTCCATGGTGCACAAGCAGCACTTATATCTATCTCAGGGGTAATGAATAGCCATCTGAGTGGACTTACTGCCCACTCAGTGCTTGGAGAGAATGCACGCCTGTCACTGTAAACCAGGTAGTCAACTACGAGGAGCTGGAGAGGTCATGGACTCCAGAGGTAAACCTACTGCTGCTACTTTCCTAAACCAGTATAATTCCCAACTGCATTCCGAATACATATCCTTATCCACAGATAAGTAAGTATAGCCCTTACCCCTCAAAGATGCTTCATTTAGCAGCAAAATGAACATTTCAGAAATACACAATTGGTCACAGTGTAGAGAACAACTGACTGTGAAGGGCCTATCTCCAGCAGATACACAGAAATACAACTACACCAAGGCTCAGAGATCATGGCCAAAGATGGGAGCAAAAGATTGTAAGAGTCAGAGTGATAGAGGAATGTCTTTCTGTATGCTGCGAATATGTGTTGCTCTGATTGGTTGATAAATAAAGCCATTTGGCTTATGGCAAGGCAACTTAGAGGCAGGCAGGAAATTCAAAGGGAGAGACAGGAAGAAAGGGAGAGAGACACCAGTGAGCCGCCCAAGGAGCAACATGTAATGGGACACAGGTAAACCAGGGAACATGTGGAGATACATAGATTAATAGTTATGGGCTAATTTAAGATATAAGAGCTAGCTAGCAAAAGGCTTGAGCCATGGCCATGCAGTTATAATTAATAAAAGCCTCTGTGTGTTTACTTGGGGAATGCAAGTGGGAGAGATTTGTCCCAACCACCGGCAGGTCGGGATACAGGAAATCTCCGACTACACCAGAGGACCAGGATATGTGCTACAAGATAGTGTCCTCTATACATGACAGAGTCACATTCATGAATTCTTCACAATATAGTCCCCTAAACAAGACCTACACAGTGACAATACCAGTTGACATTTCAGTATTGATGGGAGGCATCTCATAAGGCCTGATGAAGGCCTTATGTTCACATAGCTCCTAAATGAAGAGCTATAGAAAATTAATGGCTACTAAGAGAGGGAGAATCAGCCTTCTCCAGGAATAAGCCCCCCTGATAGATATTGATATCTATTGATAGAGATTGATATCCAATCCCAAGCAGGCATCCCTAAACACAATAATAATTAAAGACGAGGTGGTCATGAAGTTGAGAGGGATTGAGGAGGTCATGAGAGGGGTTGTAGTAGAGAGAGTATGGGGTGGAAAGGATGTAATTACAATACTCATGTATGAGGATTCTGAAAAATAATAATAGCATAAAATACTCAAACAATAGTAAGTGAAAAAACAAACAAAATATTCCCATATTAGTTCTGACTATACAAAGCATTCCTATCTTGTTTGTTAAAATCAGAGGAAACTCTGAGTGAGTGAATGTATATTGCTGAGATGGGCATAGCCATGTCAAGGACTCCAAGGTCTCTGAGCCATGGGAAATTGGTTAAGTCGTTTCTTCATGCAGCTGGGCTGAAGAAGAGTACCAAAGAGTGTTTGACTGTTTATAAACAACTGACTAGTGTGTTCAAAGACTAGCAACTGCTGCTTCCTCCTCCAGTATGTCTACGGCCTACAACTGCTCACCTCCAGTCCTCCTACCAAGGCTAGCTAACCCGTCTCCCCATGCCTAATAAACATATTGAGGTTCTGAATTATGGTGATGTAGTAGAATATTTTAAGGTGTGTTACTTTTGCTTATGTTGCATTTGTTTAACTCTGTGAAGCTGTGTTACTGTGCTTGTCTAAAACACCTGATGGTCTAATGAAGAACTGGACAATAGCAAGGCAGGAGAAAGGATGGGTGGGCTGGCAGGCAGAGAGAATATATATATAGAGAGAAACCTGGAAAGAGAGATCTAGAAGTAGCCAGAGAAGGGGGAGGACTCCAGGGGCCAGCCACCCAGCTACACAACCAGCAACAGAGTAAGATTTACAGAAGTAAGAGAATGGGAAAAGCCCAGAGGCAAAAGGTAGAAGGGATAAGTTAAGTTAAGGAAGCTGGCAAGAAACTAAGCCAAGCTAAGGCTGGGCATTCATAAGTAAGAATAAGCATCCGTGTGTGATTTACTTAGGAGCTGGGTGGCACACCCCCCAAAAGAGAGCCAACCCCCCCCAACAACAAAATGGTGATAGTAGGTACCTTCCACTGGAAGTAGCAGATCCCCCAACTTGATCCCAGCTTTGTACATGTGTGGATGCCCCTAGTCAGAGTTCCAGGATGCAAGCAACACAGGTCAATACCCAAGCAATATAGGTCATGGTAGTTAAACAATTCACATAATCCATTATTTAAATCGGACAAATTACTTTTAGCATGTTCACAGAACTATATAAACATAACCATAATCTGTTTTAAAACATTTTCATTTACTTCCTAAAACACAAGTAACCATTAGCACTCAATTCCATTCCTCTACCCCACTCTTTGCATGAGGCAACCACTAAACTAATTTTCCTTTTATACATTTGCCTATTCTGGGCATTTCATATAAATAGAATCATACAATAGGTTTTCTCTGTAACTGGCTTTTTTCACCTTGCATAATATGTTTAAGGATCAGCTATGAAGTAGACTGTATCAGTATTCCATCTTTTTTACTGTCAAATAATATCCCATTACATGATATATCACATTTTACTTATCTAGTCCACCTGTTGATGAATGTTTGAGTTGTTTCCCATTTTTAGCTGTTATGATCATACTATTATGAATATTCATGTATAGGTCTTTGTGTGACATATTTTGTGTGCACCTTGCCTATAAACCTAGGAAAAGAGTTATTAGGTCATGTGGTAACTTCATGTTTAACCCTCTGAAGAACTATTTTCCAGAATGACAGCACCATTTTACATTCCCACTTGTAATATGTGACAGTTCCAATTTCCTTACACCCTCAAAATATTTATTACTATTTGCCATTGTTAACAGCTATCCTTATGTATCTAAAATGATATCTCATAGTTAAACATT